ACTAGTTACAGCCATTAAAAAATGACTAAATTTCAAAATTTAAAGAAATATTTGGCAATTGGGTAATTCCATGTCAAATCGACAAATAGTTGGCATCGATCTCTTTCGATTTGGACAAATTTTGGTCAGAAGTTTTCGTTTATCATAAAACGAAGTTCTGCCAAAAAAAACAATAAAAAAATTTTTTTCAAAAGATATGCAAATTCAAAATTTCGCAATATTTTCAGTTTTTCAATTTAGTTATTGTAATATCTCGGACGATATTGTAGATATAGGAACGGCCTTTCGTTTGTTTAAAAAGGGACACTTGGGTTATTGAAAAAAAATATTTTGGTAAAAAATTTTCAAAAATGCCAAATTTGTCAAATTTTGAATTTTTGAAAATCGTTAAAAATGATGATCGCAATTAAAATTTTAGCTCAATTTTTTTTTTGTATAATACATTGTACTCATCATTGTTTACAATACATTGTACTCATCATTTTTCATGCGTTAAGGATGACTTTGAGATCATGTCCAAAAAATAAAAAAAATTTGAAGTTTATTTATTATTCAATATTTCAACGTGATGCATTCAATTTTTAATCCTTAAAATTATAATACTCTGTATCTACATAACTTTACCTTATTCGAAAGTTGCAAAAAATGAAAAAAAATTTTTTTTTGAAATTCAAAAATTAATATTGTTGAAAAAAAACCTTCTGAAAATTTCAGAATCTTTTATGAGTACAATGTATTATACAAAAAAAAAATTGAGCTAAAATTTTAATTGCGATCATCATTTTTAACGATTTTCAAAAATTCAAAATTTGACAAATTTGGCATTTTTGAAAATTTTTTACCAAAATATTTTTTTTCAATAACCCAAGTGTCCCTTTTTAAACAAACGAAAGGCCGTTCCTATATCTACAATATCGTCCGAGATATTACAATAACTAAATTGAAAAACTGAAAATATTGCGAAATTTTGAATTTGCATATCTTTTGAAAAAAATTTTTTTATTGTTTTTTTTGGCAGAACTTCGTTTTATGATAAACGAAAACTTCTGACCAAAATTTGTCCAAATCGAAAGAGATCGATGCCAACTATTTGTCGATTTGACATGGAATGACCCAATTGCCAATCCAACTATTTCTTTAAATTTCGAAATTTAGTCATTTTTTAATGGCTGTAACTAGTGTTTTTGTAGAGACAATCATACTTTGTCTTAGAGTTTTGTAAAGCTCAAAGACTCTACTTTAAGAATATAAAATCGTTTTTTGTAAAAAATTTCGTAAATTATGTGTAAATTCAATTTAAAACAAAAAAAAATTTTTCCCATGTTAATTAAATGGAAAACTAAAATAACAATAGCGACCCCTTAGAGTTGAGCTATAGGGCTCATCTTTGGTGACGATTTTTTTTATATCAAATAGAAACATTTGAGAGGGTATAAGTTAAAAAAAAAAATTAAAAAGTTTTTTTGAATCACCCTAATATATATTAATTATAAATAATTTATAAATTTAATAAAAAATTATGTTCATTACAAATCTATCATGTATACGATTTCCATTACTTATAGTTATTACAAACTCTGATCTTCAAGTAAGTCTAGTAGGTAAACAGGTAGTGAATCAGTCGTCCAAGCGTCAGGTCCCAGATTCGATTCCTGCCTACGGCAGATATTTTCATTTCTATGGAAATGATTATATATAATTCTATATAATTTTATACAATTATATACCATTTCTATCCAATTTTATCGGGCCATTTTTTTATATAATTATATATAATTGATACACAATTGTATCTAATTGTATAAAATCTTTTTTACTCGGGCATAAAATACTACAAGTTATATTAGTGAAATATGACTAATTTTATAAATTTTCCAACACATTCTATTTTTTTAAACATTCTTTAGTGACATTCGGAAATTTTTTTTTATATTCTCTTACAATTTGAATGCCATATCGTTTTTTATCTTCGTGCTTAGCTTAAGTATTAATATATTTTTCAGTTAGTTTAACAGCTTGTTCTGCAGAATCGGTTACCACTTTCAGATGCTTAACAATTTCCAAACCTTTTAAATAATCTGGGTGTTGTGACCATGTACTATCATCTAATAGTAGAAAATCTGTATCGATATTGAATCTTTCGAAAAATTTGGCGGAATTATAATTAATAAAATAATCAACGTTTTTGTCAAGAAACCAATCAAACTCTCCTGAATTGAAAATAAAACATTTAGAAAAGTCAAACTGATCCTGTTAGGAAATACTGAGGTGGTTAGGAGGTGGTAAATAAAAAGCGCGGTGAATTCAAACTTAAATTTATTGTCAGTCTTCTTACACCGATTAGTACTCAATTGAATAAAATATTATATAATAAGTTTGCACTTGGTATAGACTCGTGGCAGTGAATGTCAACCGTCTTAAGATAGTTTCTTTTGGATGCGTGACCCTTCGTTGAGAACCTTCTGGTATATTCAAAGGAAAGGCTTAGAAGGCGCGGGGGTCTCTTAGAGATGCTCTTCTAAGCAAGATGATGCCCAATTTCCTTTGAGAGAACTCGACTTGCACCAGGAGGTATACTAAAGACGGCTACGAGAAGAGCCTATTACTTGAGAGTTTTCTTACTGATATGTAAGGTTAGACACTTTATTTAGGTACTTGACTCTTGATTTTAGATGTTAACTGTTTAATTGCACGATAAAAACTGATGCGGTGGCACTTGGCGCCTGTATTTATACTTAAGCCGGGAGGCCCAGAACGTTCTGGTAAGCATGCGCAGACATCGATTTCTGGAATGATGCCTGCGTCGATAATTTTCTAGAGGAATCGATTACTCGAAAGTTACTAGATAGAGAGCGCTTCGAGTCTTTAGGCGGGAGTTTGAATTAAATTATGCGAGAGATGGCGCCATTACTAAATTTATTAGAAAAAGAGACTAGAGATGGCGCCGCTAATTTGATAAATCTCAAACAGTAGATTTGTTTTTAATAAAACCGAATTGTTCTTTCGCTATAATTTTACATTCTGAAATAAAATGATACATTCGTTTATGTATGAGTTTCTCAAGTATTTTGGTAATATTGGAAATAAGAGAAATCGGGTGATAGTTCGTCGTGAGATGTCTATTCCCCGATTTGTAAATAGGAATAAAAACATGTAAAATATATGGAAAAATACGTAATAAGAAATCAGGTGAAAAGACATCCTCAGGTATCTAGTTTTAATATACAAATTAATACAATCAATTTAAAGTTGTATAAATAAAATAATACAAAGCCAATAATCTTACTGATCCGTAAACATCATTAACTACTAACAAATAAAATAAAATTGCAATGCAAGAAAAATTTTCCGCGAATACTCTGTCAAAACATAGTCATACCAATATTATTTACAATAAAATACTGAAGTACAGCAATAAATGTGTCCAAAATTATCAGACGTAAACCAATTAATAAATAACAGTAGATACAACAGTTCAAACTGTTTACAATTTATAGTACTATCATTTTTTATTCATCATTAAAGATAGATAGATACAAAAGTTTATTTAACCCTTGAGCCTAAACTCCCTCAGGGCCATCAAATTTCAAATTACATCGGTTTACGTTTTAGAATTTTGATAATATGGCTGTGTATAAACAATTCATTTTTAATTCAAAATTGCTGTATCGAGTTTTTAAGATTTTAATTTTCTAAAAAAAAACAATGTTAGGCATTCTGAATTGACTCATATTTCGTGTAAAATGTATAATAATATTTTTATTACTTGCTGATAAATTGTCACGATGACTATAAAAATTATGTTACCCACAAAATCAAGCACGATTTTTCGTGATAATTTTATAGTTTTGCAATAAAATTTTTCGCGACTCAATTGAATAATTATTTCCAATATCATAAATTAGTAATACCAAAATGAGTCACATTTCGTACAAAAAAAAATGTGTCATCCGTATTTGAATAACAATCATAAAAAATTGTTGATATTATAAAATCACTTTACAATTACAGTAGCTGAAGAATAAATTGAGAACAACAAACATATAAACTACGAAAGCAATGTTTCTTATATAAATTTTACTTTTTACTGCATTTTGTGTTGTTAACACAAATGCACTACTCGACAAGGGCTTAAACAACACGTGCTTTGAAATTATAGAGGATCCTACTTATGCCTTTTATGATTTAGATGGTAAGTTCTTCGAATTATATAAACATGTACATATATAAAATTTATGCGCCCGTTTGGCTTTAGATCATAAAATTTTCAAATTCCTAAAGCTAAAAAGGGCCTAAATTTTTAGACATACGCCGATTTGACTTCTACAAAATTTTTTTTTCCTTTAAACTTAAAATATGTTTGCAAAGTAATTGCAAAAGAAAATTTTTTTATACGCCCTTTTGGCATTTGAAATTTTTTTCCATTTACTCAAACGTAATTTCTAAACAAAAATTAAAATTCCTAAAATTACTTGAGATCAAAAAATTTTTAATTTTTTTAAAACAAAAGGTCGTACAATCCATAACATGCGTCTTTTTGGTGTTTGTCACGCGATGTATGTAGACGTTAATTATTATTATGTATATAATAATGTTACTTAATTTTCATAACTATAGTTATTGAATGCAATTTTGTGACGATATCACAAATAAAACTGACGGATAATGGACTATCATTTCGTTTGAAACATCCTAACACTCGTATTTCTGATTATGTCAGGTTGAATAAAACAGTACAGAAGTTATTTAATGGCAATACAAAGATACATTTTGCCAAAAGAATAAAGAATAATTGGAAAATTGGACACAAAGACTTTAGGACAGGTAATTTAAAATTGCTTGCCAGTTTAATTATTAAATATAATTAGAGCTCTCTACGTAACTTTTATCATAAAAAATATCATTAACTTTTGCAATCAAGTATTTGCCCGGATTTGATGATGTTACTCTTTATCATAATTACGACCGACGAGCTGCGATAATGCTTTATCGGAAAGGTTCATCTTATATTGTGGTAACGTATAAAATTTCTCTAGAATAGATCTTGAGTCTATCTTTTCTTCTCGATAATATATAATTATTTATCATTAGGAAGGTAATATTGGAGGTCGCATACTTCGATACAACAACGGTAATGACTTGGATGATGATAACTCCACATACGTTTTAGCTCTTATGGCACTAGCTAAAGAAAAAGGTTCAAAGTTTATTATTATATTTGCGTTTACTGCTAATTTTTCGATAAAATTTTTTATTTTCAAGTCTATCTACATAATATTATACAAGACTTATTATGCAAGACTGCTCAAGTTTAATAGTTGCTAGAGTCGTTTTCTACCTTGGGGTCTTGCTGCAGATAATTATTTATTATGACAGGTAAAAATTGCCAATCTTGTGCTATCCTTCCACAAGAATTTGACTCTGTCTTATCACAGTAAATGACAATCTATTCTATGTTAAGCTATGCGCGAGCATCTGCTGCAAGCTCCTTACGTACAACTATGGGCAAGTGATAAACAATTCTTGAGTCGGTTCCTTACAACACGATCTTGCGCAAGACCCATACGTAGATGAAGACACTTGTAACTATATAGGTTTTGTTTTCGAACAAGCTCTTCTTCAAAAATCTTGCTTAAACACATGCTTATTTACCATATCGCGTGACAAAGACCGAAAAAAATTTTTTCGTAAGCCTAAAGGGCGTATTTATGAAAATGTAGACCTCTATCTTTTAGGAACATGAAACTGAAATTGGCATTTTTTGATTTTTCTTAAATAATAAACAAGATTTTAAAAATTATTTTTAAACAATCGCGTTCATAATTTTTTAGACGTTTAGATGAAATTTTTTCAATAAATTTTTTGAGCCACAATTTAGTAGTAAAAAAATTTCTAAAGATCATCAGATGTCTCTTAATTTCAGTATCATTTTAGGAATTTCAAAATGTACACGGAGAGAAATTTATAGGAATTTTTCCAACAATTATGGGAATGGATCCTATAATAAAATTATCATTATAGGCATTAATCCTATACTCATTATGGGAACCATACCCATAATTTATTGAAAACGTTCCTATACAATAATGGAATGGTTCCTATAATATTATGGGAATGACGCACATAATAATAGAAAAAAGTTTATTTTCTTAATAATGAAGCAATCATTTCAAAAATATAAAGTAATTATTATGTATTTTTTGCTAATAAAATTTTTTTTGTAAATAAAAATTGATCTTTCACTAGAATGAAAAAATTTCTTTTTCATAATTTTTATTCACGTGTGTACTTAATCTTGAATTATTTATTCCGGCTCAGTTATTATTGTGTTAAATAATATTGTAGCAATTTTTAAGTTTCTCTAATAAAAAGGATATTTTCTCACTATGCAATTGTAGGAGCAAAATAGATATGGGAATTCATTGTTTATTTTCACAATTTTGTTTTATTTTTAAAGCAAATTATTTATTTAAAATATATACGTTGAGCCGCGAAAACATTTGAAAATTTTGAATTTCAAAACAGTTGGAAATTTTATTTTATTTAAGAAATTTTTTTTTTTCTAGTAGAAATTTTTTTTTTAATTAACTTTTTTTTTTTTAATTAATTTTATTTTAATTTACAAGCATGTATACGATTCAAGATTAAAAAAATATCAACTGTTGCAACTGATTAATTTCATAATGATAATAATAATAAATATAGGTGCTGATAACTTTTTTTATCAATTTATATATTATAAAAAAAGAATCACTTAATAAAAAAAAATAAATCTAGTGAAAAGTAATTAATTAAATACCACAGTTGTGTGAAAAAAAATTACTCCAATATTATTGGCATCATTCCTATAATATTATGGGAATGGTTCCCATAATATTATAGGAATGGTTCCTATAATATTATGAAAACTATTCCTATATATTATAGGAACCATTCCTATATATTATGGAAACCATTCCTATATATTATGGGAACCATTCCTATATATTATGGGAATCGTATCTTGGATGGATACGTACCTTGGATACGTACCTTGGATGGATCATTGTGTTGCAGATATGATGTCTCATTATTTCAAGTACAAATTTTTACACAATTACTTTCAAAAAGTTGCTTTTTTATCCTTTTGAATTCGACTATTTGCTAAAAATTATTCAATAATCTAAATTTAGTCGAATTTAAAAAAATTAGAATAAACTTTTTACTAATAAGCAAAATATTTTTTTTAGGACTCATGACTGTTCTTACTTCAACAATAACGAATTTTGAAGCTTCATGGATCACTTCGAATAGTTCTCCGCTAAATAAATAAATATAATAATTATCTCTTACATATTATCAGTTACTGTAACTATAACTTTAATCATACATGCTGTGTATTACACTTGAGTTAAATATTCTTAATTTTATTAATTTTCTTAATTTCCTATTTATGTCAATAATAATTAGAGTCAAGTTACTCAACATGTTTAAATAAATTAATTCATTTTACAAAATTTATAATACAAATATAATTAAACAGAAATATGTTAAAAAAATGACGGACTTGTTATATAATCTCTTTCTCCTTCTTCAAAAGTCGTTCAGTATTTTGTAGTGACAATTTCTTCATTAACTCAGTGCAGTCGTGGAGGTTCCAATTTTCCTGAATCTTCTAGCGCTCTGTGATATTAAGAAAATTTGTAAATTTTAAAGCAATTGTTGTATTAATTACGTAATATTTGTAATTATTTTCATTAATATATGAAATTACATGGAGCCATTAAAAGTTTATTGAAAGATATTACTTACCCAGGTTTTTTCAGGTTAACGTTAATCTCTGGCCATGGAGAAAAAGGACGCTTCCTATATGAAAAAAAATTAATGAAAAAAATTATGTCTAGACAGGGATTTTTTTACTCAAGAATTTTTTAAAGTAAATAATTCAATATATTAATTATTTGATAGAAGAATATTAATATCTGTTATCATTATTATAAGAAAACTAAATAATAGCTTCTCTTGAATGAAATAAAAATTAATTAACAAATTATGATACTGAAATCAGCAAACTTTTGACATTTTTTTAAAAATTAAATATGAATTTAATAAGTACTAAATAAAATTGCACCTACAATTTTTCAAATCTTCAACATGTGGGATTTTTCTTATGATTTTTTTTTATAATAATTTGTTTAATAAGTAAAATCTATGAGTAAATTTTTAACAGAAGTTATTTTTTTCATTGTACTTTTAATACAAATTTTTTTTATTCATTAAAATTATATCAAATTTTTGTAACTTTTATTTGTAATGGAAGTAATGAAGTTAATGTTGAAATAAAATCGAATATCGATAAGAGTTTTTATTTTAATTGAAAAGTATAAAATTTTTCAATATAAAAATGATGCACAGAAAAAAAAATTAATTTGAATCAAGTATATAAATTTAAAAAACTTGACCGCCCTAATTTGAATAGAAAAATTCTTCTTGGTTCAAGTTAATTTTTTTTTTCATTTTACTTACCGAATTTCCCACTCGTCTGGATCAATGTCGTCAGTAGATAGTACATGACCACCAGGGCGTTTTGGAGGTGTAGGACGTCTAAAATTCGAAACAATTGATTAACTCTAAAATTTCACTGTATCATAACTTAAATTTAATAAACTTAATACTTTATTAAAGATTAACATTTTCTGATTGGGATGATTGAAATCTACAGCCAACCAAAGAGAATCCAGTGCTGTTGATATTAGATAACCACAGTAGTCACCTCTCTTTAGCTGCTGTCAACTTTTGTCGTGACAATGGTATCCACTTACTTACGCTTCCACCACACAGTAGCCACACAATGCAACCCTTAGATCGTGGATTTTTGGGCCATTAAAACTTGAATTTGCTTACGAGTGTGATAAATGGTTAAGTAGCAAACAGAGGTGTTAATTTACTTCGTTACAAAAATGTTAATTACTTTAAGCTTTATTCTCGATATAAATTGAGATAGATAGTATTTGTGAAAGTATATATTTAATTTATAAATATTAAAAATAAAATAAATAATGGTAAATGTTGATAAAAAATGATATTTACATCATTCAATATAGTTTAACTATATTTAATAAGCTACCATTTAAGTTATAAGTGCGTACACTTATCCGCAGTGCTGCGCACAGATACCCCGATGTTGGGGTAAGTGTATGCATTTTGACTAAGTTTTATTTTAATTATTTTATAAAATTACCATCAAGTAAACTTTATTTCAAGTTATGTAATTGATAAATTAATAAAATCTTTAAATAAATAAATATTATTCAATTTATTTCATACAAATATTTTCATTTTATGATAATTAAAAAAAAAATGCGCACACTTGCTCCACATGACTCTAATATGAAGGGTCTGATAAGCTATTCCTAACAAATATCTCATAATAAATTTTTACTTACTTGCGTATTCTATTATGCCAACCCGGAGGATACTCAATAGAACTTAAGCAAGGTGATGGCGATCTTATTTTTCGATTATGCAGAACTGCTTCACGAGCTTTCCGGATTAATGTGTTGCTGCACATTTCATTTTGGCTGAAGTAAATAAAAAAGATATACTATTATTACTACTTACACAGAAAGAAAAAATTTTTTGACTCTAGAATGAATTTTCTTAACTCAAAAAAAATTTTTAGAGAGAAAAAATTTATCTTGGAAGAACAATTTTCTTTTTCCTAAAAAAATTTCAGTGCTCCTAACAATTTTCTTGGTTCAAATAAACTTTTTTCTGTATAATTTCTTTGAGCTTAAATTAATTTGAAGATAAAAACTTACCAGCTGATGCATAAAAACACCATTGCGAGTGTTGAGATGAGAAGAAAACTCTTGATGAGATTCATGGTGATTTATCAAAAATTTATTGCACTCAAGAAAGGATTTTCTTGAAGAATATTTTAAAATCAACAATTCAATATATTAATTTTTTGATAGAAGAATATCAATATCTGTTTTCATTATTATAAGAAAACAAACGAATAGCTTCACTTGAATTAAATAAAAATTCTATTAGTCACTTCGATAAGTTTTTCAGACAAGAGATAATTTTTAAAATAAAAGAATCCAGTATAGGAAATTTATAAGTATAAACGTTCTTGTGTCAAAAACAAATTTTTTATAGAACTATTTTTTCTTTTTAGTGTGATTTTTGGATACTTAAACAATCACGATTGAAGTAGTTATGTTGATCGAGTAAAAGATCGAGACTTTATATATTACTTAAAGGAGGAGCAAATAGAAGGGATTCTAGTGCGACGGATTTTAAGATGATAATAAACGAAAGAGAAACCTCGGAAATTTTTATAATAATAATAAGGTAATAAGGTATTGGATTTTTTTATTTCCAGACGAATATTTTAGTGAGTAAAATGTAAATAACTGAGTATTGATTGTTTACCGTTTGATGACTGATACACCTGAATTTATTTAAAATATATTCTATATAGAAGAATTCAGAAGTTAAGGTCAAAAATAACGTCGGCATAAATTATAGAAAGTTATTCTTCGACTTAATTTAACTTAAACAATCAAAAAACATTGGGGTATCCCATATTTAAATTCATACAAATATGTACGCAGTTTGTTTTTTACGGAAGTGTATATTTAGTGACCGGTTTTAATTAACAGTCAACATTTTATAAATGCAATTTAATAATATTATTGATGATCAAAATTAATCCCGTAAGTTTGAATTCAGTAATTGAAATAAGAAGATAAACAAGCTAAGTTAATAATTCATAAAATATATTTTTATTTCAGCTAGAATCAAATCAATATTGATGATTTTTAACAAAGATATCTAAGAGTTATGTCTTATTACATCGATATTGTCGCGACGATAATTGGAAATTTCAAGATAATGAAAGTATGGAATTATCATAATTTAAGGAAGCTAATTTAGGGTAGTTAAATAGTTCAGATTGTTTTTTTTTTATTTTTTTTCCCAAGTATAGTCTAGTCAACAAGTGCCTTTTTGATCAACTTTTTTCAGCAGTCTCCGAAAATTACGATTGAGGTCATTCAATTCGGAATGACATCTAGATGATTTTTGAAAAAAATGAAGTTCCGATTGCAAAAATTGCAAAAGTTATTAACAATTAATTAAAAAAAAAAAAAAACTTAAAAACGGTTCACCCTAAAGGCCATCCCTGCAACTTCCCGCTCATTTTGTACTTAAACGCTTCAAACTACACATTACGTTTTTGAGCTCTTCGAGCTCAAAAATATTATTTTTGCGTCAATTTGAGCTCTTCGAGCTCAAAACTCTAATAGCAGTTGAGACACGATTTTTTGAATTTTCAAACGGCAATAACTTTAGAATGAATGAACCGATTTTCACGCGGTCGGCGGCAATCGACGCAGTTTTTGAAGCTCCATAAAAAATTTTCAAGTTTAGGTTGGCGGCAATCGACGCAGTTTTTGAAGCTCCATGGAAAATTTTCAAGTTTAAATCGATCGAGCCATGAATTTCGAAGTTATTACAAAAAAACACTTTTTTCGATTTTTTTCGACAACGATATCTCACGAACGCATCAACCGATTCTAACGTTTTTGGTGGCGATCGATGAGGGTTTTCAAGGTTAAGAGCTGCTCAAAGAGCTCAAGAGCATACAAAAGCTATTTTTTGAGCTCGGAGAACTCAAAATAATACACAAATTGTATTAATGAGCTCAAAGAGAGCTCTAAAACGTCATAAGTGCAATTTCAAGCGCTTAGGTATAGAATTGGCGGGAAGTTGCAGGGATGGCCTTCAGAGTCAACCGTTTTCCTAATTTTTTTATTCAGTGATGCAATTTTAATATATTATTTCTGAGACACTATTAAAACTTCATAAAATTACATGTTTCCTCTCCCGAAATTAATTTTGATATAAATAATTATAAGTATATAGTATATATCATTAAGTAGAGAATCTACCGCGTCTGTTGATCGAAATGAGCTTATATATTTTTAAAAATATCATTAGTTTACAAGACACAATGTCATTTTCTCATTATTGACATAAGAAATGAATTTTATTACAATTTAATATTAAGTTTGTTCAAATTATTTGCGAATAGTATTTATTTTCTTTCTTTGTAATATTTATTATTTACTTATTAATATAATACATTTTATGAGTTGGAAAATTTCTATTAATTTAATTTCGGCGTTTTCTTTATGCAAATTATATTTTTCGTTATTACAAAATTTTTTACATGACTAATTTATCACAACCGTTATTATTATTATTATTATTAAAATATTAATTTTATCTTTTTACTTCATTCATCGTTCGAAAAAATAAAATTGATTTTTCAAATTTCAGCGCCTGCGCAGTCGAAAGCGAAACAAAACTTCACTGCGCATGTGTTTCGGTGGACTGTACAGACCTGCCATCTACATCTTCTATGTATCATACAACTTTAATTTACGTAAAAAAAATTGAATACACGTGTGATTGTTGTTAAAATACTTTCGTGTAAAAGTATAATAATAATAATTAATAAATTAAAGCAAATAAGTTATCTGTCCAAAACAAGTAAGTCGAAAAGTTTTAATTGTCATTCTTAGTATAAAGTCATTATTAGAAAGTTTTTTTTTTACATATTTGATGAGTAATTGTCTCAATACATACTGACTGCGCTCATTTGAGGTTATTTTAGATTTTCGAGTTAAAAAATTAGTTTTTTATAAAAAACAAAAAAACAAAATCATCGTTTTTAATACAAAAATTAACCAAAAAATAATTAATTATTAAAAAAATAAAATGAAATTATCAAAATTAAGTTAGTTGATAGCTACAAATTTTTAGAATTTTTGTTGTTGAAAAAATTATTACAAAATAATAAAACAAAATTCATGACATTTAAGCTAGCAGTCACTTAATATTTTTTTAATTTTATTTAACAAAAAAATTATTTCTAAAAAATTGCATTTTTAATTTATTGAAATTTCTACATGTCATTTTTTTTTTTAATTTTATTGCCATAATTTATTTATTACAAAAATTCTTAAAACTATCAAATATCTGCTAATTTAATTTTCATACAAAATTTTCGTTTGTAAAAAACTTGAAAAACGATATACAAATTTTAAAAAAATTATTTTGTAGCTCTAATTTAATAAATGAAAGAAAAAAAATTAAAAACGTCGGTTAGCTTTATTATTGTAGTTAAATTAATGAACAAAAAATATTTAAATTAAAACGTCGATTAAATTTAATTTTGGATTCCAAAATTAAACATGTGAAAATTTATTAAAAAAACTAATATCTATGTTTTCAAGAATATGTAGTACAGTCTGATGTCGGTAACTGATTCTGGACCAGTGGCAACAAATGTCAATTGAATATATCGGTTTGTTTATTTAAAAAACGTGTAAAATGTACTAAAGTAGGCTATCAGACTGACTGTAAATACTCTAAACACTGCTTCAAAAAATTATTCTAGATAATTTACTTTTGGCACGCTCTTGACATGAAAATATAGTAAATGATTTTTTGTTGATAATTAGTTTTCTACCCTTACCTAGATGCATTTTAATAATTCTGTCTTATAAGTAATCTAAACTAAAATAAAGAATAATTAAAAAATTAAATCAATCTCAAAGATTATATTGGTTGTACGTTTATTAGTAATTTCTTTATAGTAAAGTTTATTTACTTGAATATGGGACGGGTCCTGAAATAAGGCAGTTTTACTTATTTAGTATTAAATTTAAAAATGAAAGAATTATTTACGAAGGACTATTATTTACTCCTGCCAAGTTTCATGATTTTTTATTCAATAATTATTCGGTCAAAAAGCGTCCCAGTATCTTGTTTAAAATTTAAATAAAATATTCATCTGTGCTACATGTTCTTAAGAATTTTTACTAGTGAAATTTTTAAAAATAGTTTTTATACACATAAAAAATTATAGTTTAAAATAACATTTTTATAAATTCAATTTAAAATATTGATTTTTACAATTTTTAGGTTCGTGTCCTTGAAAAATTATAACATTATTAAATTCTTAGGAAGAAGGACGTGGATTAATATCATTCATTATTTACATAAGTTTCATATTAAGCGTTTCGTCGACTTTTTTTTTTACTTGTTCTGCAACATAATCGTATAAAAGCTATTGTATTATTAAGAGAAAATTTTTGAAGTTCAATAGTAGTAGGTCTGTTTTTTTTTTTTAATTTTTTTTATCTCATATGTATAAAAGTTTTTCTGTAGTAAATTTAAATCTTATTCTCTTTATTATTAGCCAATATAAATCTAGTATAGATTTTGAATGATTTCAATCTATCCTGTCTTTTTTACATATTTAATAATAATGTAATTAATTTTTAATATTATTTGAATCAAAGAAAAATAGCAATTTGCTAAATAGTGATTATTATTATTATCATTATTATTATTATTGAAGAAAAAAAATACATTGTGTTTAGGAAAATTTTTATTTGATTATTATATTTTATTTATTTTATAATTATGGTAATGAAATAAAGATAGCAATTTGCTACATAAAAATTATTATCATTATTTCTAAAGTTTCTAATGTAATTTTATATTTCTTTAAATCTAATTCTTACAGAATTTGTAAAAATTATAATTTTAAGGCGGGAAACACGAGTAGAAAGATGTTTTCATGCTGATTTTAATTAATTTTTTTAAGTTGTAAAAAATTAATGTTATTTATTCAAACTATCAGGTTATTTTATACATATATTTATGAGTATTTTTTATATTTTACAATAATATAACTTAAAAAGTAGCGGAGATATCAGTTGATACACATCGTAGGTTGTCATCTGACTTAGCAATTGGTGTACACGATGGAAGCCACAATTTTTATCTGAAATCAATGGCATAGAAAAATTATTTTTTATATGCTTATCTTCTATATGAACCTCACTTCCAAAAAAAAAAAAAAGTAAAAATTTGCATTTTTTAGAGGGCCGTTAAAATAAGTCGTGATTTTTTACAATTTTTTTATATAATGTTTATTAAAAAAAAATAGTTTAAATAAAAATATCGCTTTCGATTGAGGTTCATATAGAAGATACACATATTTAAAAAATTAATAAAAATAAAAAATTGATGAAAATCAGCATAAAAACGTCTACACGTATTTCCCCCTTTAAACTAAAATTTTTCCAGTTTTTTTTTTCAAAACATTTTATTACACTCTAAAATATAATTTCTACATTATCCGTTTATGTAACCATAAAAATAAAAAAAATTTTTTTTACAGTCCAACCATCACCAAAAAAAAAAAAAAATGAAGAAAAGATCAAAATTAAACGAAGCCGAAAATGACTCAGAATCAGAATCTGAGGATCCAAAAGCGAGCGGACCAGTGGACAACGCATGGTCATTAAAAATTCCTGAGTTCAAACCTGAAGACAATCCAAATCGTTTGCTAGAGGAAAGTTCATTTGCGACACTGTTTCCCAAGTATCGTGAGCATTATCTAAAAGAATGCTGGCCCTTGGTGCAAAAAGCCTTAGAAAAATACGGAATTAAGCCGGAGTTGGATTTATTAGAAGGCAGCATGTGCGTAAAAACCACCAGGAAGACTTGGGACCCCTATGTAATAATAAAAGCCAAGCACTTTATAAAATTACTCTCCCGTTCGGTTCCATTCGAGCAGGCGGTCCGCGTTTTGCAGGACGACGTCGACGCAGACATCATTAAAATCAGTAGTTTGGTTCACAACAAAGAAAAATTTATCAAAAGACGGCAGAGGTTGATCGGACCGAACGGTGCGACATTGAAGTCTATTGAATTGCTGACCAACTGCTACGTTTTAGTCCAAGGTCAGACTGTGTCCGCAGTCGGACCCTACAAGGGACTCCAGCAAGTCAGGAAAATTGTCGAAGATACCATGAAGAATATCCATCCGATTTACAACATCAAGGCGCTGATGATCAAACGGGAGTTGGCGAAAGATCCCAAGCTGAAGAACGAGAACTGGGACCGGTTCCTGCCTAAGTTTAAGAACAAGAATATCGCCAAGAGGAAGCAGCCCAAGAACAAGAAGGTCAAGAAAGAATACACTCCGTTCCCGCCTCCGCAGCCTGAGAGCAAACGCGACAAAGAACTGGCCAGCGGAGAGTTCTTCTTGTCTAAAGAGCAGAAACGCGCGCAAAAGAAGAAAGAGATCGATGAAAAGCACCAGGAAGCCGAGAAGAAGAGGCAGGAAAGGAGAGAGCAGGCATTTGTACCACCCTCTGAGGAGGTTACTCAGAAGAAACGCAAGGCTGATGATGTTGATGTTGAGAAGATTAAGGAGAAAATTGATAAGAGTTTAAAAAAAAAGAAAAAGGTTCATTAAAATTTATTATAATGTGTAGGGGAACCTGGGGCATGACGGCCCCCCTCAAAAATTAGGTAAAAATTTTTTTTTTCAATTTTCCTCAAATTATGACCTCTATCATGTTTTTATGATATTTTGAGCAAATAAATGATATGTGGGGCATAATGGACCACTCATGAAAAAAATTGTAACGAAAAAAAATTTTTTTTTTTTTAAATTGTGATAAATTTGTGGTAAAATGAATTAAAAAAAATTTAATTGAACTAAAAAATTTAACAAAAAATTGAATTATACCGGGGAGAGAGGTACACGACGGTCTGTGGTATAACGGCCCCTCTCATAAAGTAGGTAAAAATTTTTTTTTCCATTTTTTGTCAAGTTATGGCCTCTATGATGTTTTTATGATATTTCGGGCCAATATGTAATATATGGGGTATAATGGACCACTCGAAAAAAAATGACAAATTTAAAGAATTCATTATTTTAGGCCTTTTCAGGTCAATGAATTAGAATGAATTTAATTAAACTGAAAAATTTAATGAAAAGTTGAATTATATGGCTTATAAAAAATTGAAAACAGAGTTTTTTGAAATTAAAACAGTAATAATTATATTATTAATTATTGATCACGGTATCCTCTGCACCAGACAGAAACCTAATCTCAAAGTTTTATTTGAATTTCTCCAAGGATGTCTTACTCTACACAATTCATATTTCTAATTTTGACATGATAAAAATATAAAAAAAAGGTCTGGTTCAAGATATTACGTATTTAAAAAGCTCAATCTTTTAAAAACTCAATAAATCTTTTAAAAAATCAATGTAAACTTATGTTACCAATTCATTGCTAAAAAACATCTCTGTATTTTTTCTTGTACGTAGGTTTAAAACCTCTGAGTGCAATAAAAGAAATTAATTCTATTGCACGTCTCATAGCGCGAAGCGCGTGAGGTTGTGCTTTATACTCGACTCGTCAAGATCAAGCAATTTTGTGATCTTTAAATGTCTCTATCACAACCATATTACATTTATACAATAATATAAGTAGATGTACACCGAGAAAACACTTAAATTGAACCATCTTTTATTTTCTAAAATCATTTCATGTAGCTATTTTGATAAAAAAAATGTTTTAAAAAAATTTTTACGTGGACGTAATTTTTTTATTTTTTATTTAATTGAGGTCGTTTTTTTTTTCTTCATGTTGATTTTTTTTTCTGTGAGTTCTCGGCGATACTCAAGACTCGTAAGAATCGCGGTTTTTCCTCGGCGACGTTATCCGGGAGGAGAATTTCTAGATTTTGATGGTAATAGCTTTAGTAAAAAAAATTTTTTTATATGATTTTTTCGGGAGGGGGCCGTCGTGCCCCAGAAAAAAAAATTTTTTTTTCCGATTTTTTGCAAAATTTCGACTGATTCGTTCGAAATAGATGGAAAATAAAGGAATTTAATAGTTGAAAGCCACAAAAAAGAAAAATCGGCTTAAGGGGGCCGTCGTGCCCCAGGCTCCCCTATATTTTATTTTTTAAGATTAATTAAAATATTTCATTTTCATTAGCTTGTTTATTTTTTTTTTTTACAAAAACAGTTTCCTAATTAATTATACATGTTTATCGGTAATTATTCTACGTAAGACTATCAATTAATCTCAGCATCATTTACATGTACGCAAATTACTATTTATTCAATACAAATAAAATTTTATGGGTTATTATTTACAAGTGGGGTCAACACCATTTTGGGCTCTAACTAGGTGAAAAATTAACATTTTTTTCTTTTGATTTTACTTGTTTTTACGGCGCATTTATGATAAAAATGTCGTCAAAGGAAAGAATTAAGATTTCGATAACTTTTTTGCCTTTAAGGGGGAACACCACTGTGATGATCGAAAAAAAAGAGGTGATTTTTGGGAATTTTTTTAACAGGGAAAATAAAGGAATTTGGGGATCGGATTTTTTTATTTATTAAGGGTACATTATAGATTA